AGGCACATCTCGTATGCATTAGCTGTAACACTGCACATTCCTTGCACGGATTTGAACCCAGCAGATGATCCTCCCTGTCCAGGGCACAGTATCCTAATCCTAAGCAGTGTCACCCAAAGGAATTTGATGCGCTTGCCCTAATGGAACAGGTTATTAGATGGGAAAAACCAGCCATACTGGTACCACACAGGTTCCATTTCGAATTGTTAGATAGCAGGCATTAACTCACTGCCTGCTGCAAACTGGCAGAACTCCACTGATCTGTGCACTGACAGCTAATGTATGCACTTGGAAATCTGATCTCAGACTCGACTGAGGCAATACCAGCTGGATGTGCTTGAGATCTGTCTGCTTCCTCCCCAGCACCCAGCCTTGAAATCTTTGAATTGGGGTTTTTTTGCCTAATTCCGTGAGAACTGGATGGCAGCCCATAGCTGAGCTCTGCCTTCCTGGAAGTGGGAGCAGAAGCAGCGAGGGAGGGTGGTGGGGTTTTGTTTTGTTTTCTTTTTTGCACCTTGCTATGAAAGCTGCAGGATTTCCCACAAACGTGCCGGGTGAAGTTTTCAGTTCTTCAGTCAAGACCTTTAAATCCCTCCTGATCCACCCTGCAGCCTCAGAGCCAGATTTTTCTCAGGGGTGTTTAAGGATGGGAAGACCTGGTGAACTTTACCCTGTCTGCTGCTGAGATTCCCACCAGCTTTACCAGCACAGCAAAGTGTTTTAATACCTTTGCACATCCAGACAGGATCAGTCCTCCTGTGCAAACCCTAGGATTGGGGAGCCCATGTCCCTCAGGGGTCCGTACTAAACCTGCACAGAGATTTGGGTGTGATGCTCCTTTCAACCTGACCATGAGCCGCAGCTCCTGCATCGTTAGGAGCTGCTGGAAGTCCCATCCAAGATTTGTTTTCCTCTCAGAGGGCTGAGTTTGGGGGTGTGCTGGTGTCAGCAGGGCTCCAAAGCACGATGGGGTTTATCGGAAGCTGTGTGCTTGCGTGGCCTCCTGTCACGGGGTGGGCAGGGAGAGAGGCAGAGGCGAAGCCAAGGGACCAACCCACAAGTGAGAGGAGATTAGGGGCTTGCAAACCGGCTAATCAATACCAGCCTGCATATAATGAACATCTCTCCCACTGCTGCAGCTTCAGACAGTAAAAACCCACTGTAAGTGCAACGTATCTCCGTGCTTCCTGCCAGCTGGCTGTGAGCCAGCGTGTTTTCTTCAAAAAGAGGGATATTTATTTTCAGCCTTTTAGAGGCAGCCAATTCATCTCGGACCACCACTGGCTAAAAAAGCTTTAGAAATTAGCAGCTTCTTTTTTCTTTTTTCTTTTCTTTTCTTTTTTTTTTTTTTTTAATTTTCTCCCTTAAATATTATTTTCCTTTCGTTGTTGGAGTCGGTGTAAATCCTCTGCGTTGCGACACTGCCCTGCTCTCAAAGCTGGAGGAAGACAGTAGCAGCAGTGTCTCATGAAAGCCAGAGGAAACCAAAGCAGAGCCTCGCCGTGACTGATTCTCTTTCCAAATGGCGTAAGCAGGCCGACTTCAGGCATGTGAATAATGAGTTATCTGTGCTTGACTTTGTTAGGCAGCAGAAGAGATGGTCCCTGCGAACGTTTTCCTCTTTTCCTCTTAGCAGCAGGCTGGTGCTGCTGCTCACCAGGGCTCTGCGGAGCTCCCCGTCCTCTTCTCCCATCCTTTGGTGGCTCTGGGACCCGCTGTGTGCTTCTTGGCTGGGCATTTCCCATGGCGAGCCTCGAGCTGGAGGTGTGGGTGAAGGCTGGAGGGGCACTCACCTCCTGCACTGTAGGTATGCAAAGATGAAACCTCTGAGCCCTGTGCTGCGAGGGACAGCCCTGATGTTCCCATAACGCAGGTGCTTCTCATGTGGCTTGTTCCCAGAGCTCATGCTGGGACTTGAGGCTCAGACTGGGAAAAAATTCAACCCTCTGTAAAGGATTGGAGCATCTCTCCCAAGTACCTCTTTTGAGGGCTTTGGGAGGGATGTGAAAGGTGTTTTTGTGCACTGACATGGAGTTTTATCCGCTGCTGGTTGCTTTCTTCCAGTCCATTCTCGTGGACGTGTAGAGGCTGAGCTGTTAGGCTGCATGGCTGCTCCTTGGTTGGGCTGCAGAGAAAGGAAGCAGGTGGGTGCTGGTGGCCGTGCTGGGCCTTGCAGTGCAGGTGGCTGTGCTGGTGGGCACGCAGTGGGCTCTACAGCTGCTGGAGCTCAGCTGGAGTAACCACAGCACATCCCAGCTGAGGCGTTCTGCCCTGGCCGTGCTACTATCTCCTGGTTCTCATCTCCTCCTCAGTGGAGTAAAGGAAATGATCTGCAAATGCGTGTGTTAATGAACAGCCCCCACTCTGAGCTGAAATGCTCTGTGCTTCCTTTGCTCCAGCTTGCTGCCAGTGCTTCACAGCAAGGCGCCCGGGGAGGGACAAGCCACTTCCCACCATCTGCTCCCCTTCCTCTGGTAGCACAGGGCTGCACTCTGCCCAGCCCCTGCCTCTCCTGGCCATGGCTCCATCTGCCCCCACATGTAGAGAAACCCAGGGCTGGGCTCCCCAGCATCTGTATTGGGCCAAAACCAATTGAGCAGCACTGACAGTTTGGTATCATTCACGCTATGAAGGTCCTGGAGTCCCTTTTCTACTTTTGGTCAGCTTTGTATTTGCATCTGGGGAAGCAGGGTGCTTTGCTGGGCGTTGCAGACACCCCTGCAGCCACGAGAGGTTGCTCTGTTGGCAAGTAGAGTAGGGTCTGTTTGGTGTTTGGAATCTTTCAGTGCAGAAGCATGCCTTTAAATCAGCTTGGAGGGCCTGAGCTTCGGTGCAGCGCTGGCTTTTTGCTGTCAGCTTTCCAAGAAAAAACCCCAAACTTCCAGGATGCGCCCTATTACTGGCCTAAGTGTCACAGCTCTCCCAGCTGGGAGGTGTTTGGTGGGATTGCTTGTTTGCTGGGCTGATGCAGATCGCGTTCTTACGCCAGGATTTGAGGTGGTCTGTCCAAATTTGCACGTCATCACGCTGAGTATCAGCGTTAAATGATTCAGGGCGCTGAAGCCTCCTCTGACTGATTTCTTGGGTTGAGGTCTGACGCTGTTTGAAGTCAATTGAAAATCCACCCACTGACTTCAGGAGGCTTTGAGTCAGTCCCTGGGTTAAGCTCGAAACCACCTTCCTTTTCTCTAAGGTATGAGCTATTGTTCATTTGACGGCACTGGTTTCCTCTACATGTCAGCTGTGGGCAGATGGGGAAGGGCTTTTAATGAAGCCAACCGCTGCAGAAATAAAAAAGCTCAGGTTGTTCTGATGAAAGAAACCCATTAATAGCAATTCTCTCTTGCGTGACAAAGTCTGACGTCCCCAGCTCTCAGTGACAAGCAGCAGGAAATGCTGGGGAGACAGCTTGTACCGAGCAGGGCTGGTAGTCCGTGGGGCTGCTGGTTTTTAACTCATTCGCTTCCTTTTTCTGTACAACACAGTGCTGTCCCAACTCAGCCCCATGGATGGAGGTAGGCATGGACAACACGCACTGGGGAGGGCCTGGGGAAGCTGGCCAGGGTGTGAGCCCCACTGCTGCTCACCTCCTACACCAACCCCAGTGTTTGCTTTGGCTTACATCCACATCGAGTTTTCTACATTATTTTTTATCAAGACAGCTTTAGGTTTGGTTTTTTTTTTTTGCCTGCACACAAACCCTGTTCCAAAGGACACTGCTGTTTACTGGAGGCAGCACAGGGACTGCAGTGCAGCACAGCGTGGCTGCGTGAAGCCCTCGGTTCAGTCGTGCAGCTGAAAAATGCTCAAATGCATTAACAACATCACTTAATTTAAACTTCAGGGTTTTCTGTCATGTCCCAAATACTGCTGCAGGACGGGATTTTGGCTGAGGTAGGGGCAGATAATTACATTTCCATTGAATTTCTGTGCAGCTTCGTCTTCACAGTCCTTTTGGCTCCTCTGCTAAGTTGTGCCTGAGAGGAGTGCTAGAGGAAAAACTTATTTCCACCTATTTTTCTTCTTGTGTGTTCAGATGAGATGTGGCCCGAGCAAGACACCTCATTGCACACTCATCTCTTCCCCATATGCTCCTTATGTCTCCCAGGACCCTCCAATAACATGGAGATGCCTGAGGTCTTGGGGCACAGGGAGATGAGATTCTGGTGAGGATTCGAGGTTTCCTTGGTTTACTTCACACAGTAAACCAAGCAGGGAGTTGCATTTTCAGAATACCACCAGGTTTTCCTTTCTGCTGGCAGCCCTTTTGGAGCATCTTGCTCTGTGGCATCAGCACATTGGCACTGGGGCTGGAGTTGTGCATGGGAACAACGTGGGGACATCAGAGAGCAGGGCTGGAGCTGATGCTGGAGTCAGGGCTGAGCTTCCCAGAGGCTCCCCAAGCCTGGGAGCGCATCCCAAGCCAATCAGAGGCATGATGGGGAGATACCAGATGCCAGGCTGAAGGAGGGGAAAGTCTGGGGACCTTCTGTGACTTTGCTATGAGCTGACACCGTGCTCACGCCAAGCAGATGTGGGGCCCTTCAGCTTCGTGCGGCTGTAACTGAGGCTGGAATTCAGCCCAGGGAGAGCGAAGCCGTTCGGCAATGATTAATGTAGTAAAATGGGAAAGTTACGTATCAAGTGTATTTCATGTGCCTCTTGCCTCAGGCCTATTAGCATAAATTTAATAATTATTATTGCCCCGTTCCAGCAGCTGCTACCTAAGGAGCTGGGAGCTCTTTGCAAATGCTTGTTAGCTGCTGCTTTAGGGCTGGGAGAAGAGGAACAGAGCGAAGCAAAGCGGTGCCATGGGCAGAGCAGGGCAGGGGCTGCAGTGGGACAAGGGGCTGTCCTGGGTGCATGGAGGAAATGCTGTAGAAAACACAACCAAGCATTTCCCTCACTGATTCCCTAGTTGTGGAGGCAGGGGGCTCCTGCTGTGCTCCACCCACCAAAGGGGAACGGGTTGGACACCATCCTCTCTTATCACCTTCCAGGGCACAGACAAAAGCTAGAAGACCAAACCAAACCCTTTGCTGACCGCTACGGGGAACTGGAGCGGCTGCGTCAGTCCATGAGGGTCACCCCCACAACACCCAGCCCCCGTGGATCCCTCAGCACCCCGAGCCACTTTGGGTCGCAGGCTCAGACTCCTATCCAAGGTAAGACTGGCGTGCATCTCCAAGGTTGGGGTTGGGATTTTGTTCCTGAGAGCCTCCTCACACCCATGGGGTGAGCAGATGGCTGCTGAGCTGCACGCTCCAGTGGTTTCACCCAGTAAAACCAAGCAGTTCCAGTCGGAATGCTGGGAGAGCAAAGCAACGTGCTTGGAATCCAGTCACTCCTTTGATATGAAGGCGCTGTGCAGACGGTTAAGCATCAGCTATAAAGGGTGTATTGCACTTTACATGCTAATCCAAATGGTTTCTTATCTTGTTGAGCTGTGTTGATGCCAAGCCCAGCAATCCACCGCCTTGTTCCAGCCTCATTCCCCACATGTATGCACACCTGCATGGGCGCACGCGCAGCCTTTGCTCTTCCCATCAGTGCTATCAGTGGCACTGAGCCCTCAGGTGTTCCGTGTGTCTGCCTGGCAGCTGCCAGGAAAGAGGTTGGGGCTGCAGCCTGCCCATCCTGTGTGCTGGAGTTTCGTCCCCAAGGTGTAGGCGCTGCATGTGAAGCGATCTGGCTGCTTTGCTGCACTGCTCGGCACCGCTGTAATTAAGAGAGCTGTTCTCTCATCTGCACGGTAGCCCCGAGTTCCCTCCCGTGTGTTTTTAATCGTGGTGTTGCTTTCCTTTGAGAATCTGCAGAAGTACAAGCAGAGATCTATGGGGTATTATTGAAGCGATGCGGGCTTTGAGTTTTGGTGTGAAATCGTCTCCCTTGGAAGGGTTGGGGCTGACAGTCTCAAAAGCCCCAGAGCTGCGCTTTCAGAAGTGGTGTAGATGTTTGATGACCTCAGTTTTGTTGGCCAGGGGGTTGGCAGAGGCACCAAGATATGTTAGAAAATGTCACCTGAATTGTAAAAGCCGATTAGGGTTTTCCTCCCAACTCCAAATGACAATGAACGTTTAATTTATTTCTCAGTCTATGCTTGGAATTTCCGATGATAGCAGCGCGGTTTGCGAGAAGAACATTTTGTGTAGGATTATCATTTGATTTTTGTTTAAAAGAAGAGAGGCTGAGTTTTATAGACTCATCTCATTGGCTGTGCAATAGAGATTCTTCGGAGGAGGCTGGGAGGGAATAGTTTAAATTAGCACAGTCCCCTGTAGTGCCAGAAACCCAGAGAGCATCATTTGGAGCAAAGAATCAGGTGATGACACAAATGCAGAAAGAAAAATGGAACGGGCCACGAGTCACCGCCTGGGCCAGATTCCCAAATGTCAGTGACAGCAGGAGTGGAGACGCACAGAATTAGCCCATCCCAAATGGCTCCTGCAGAGCACATCCAAAGGAGGACCAGGAATGCTGCAAAGCTGCGCTTCGTGCGCGCTCCGCTCTCGGCTCTGCTGCTTCCAAATTGGAGGAACCGTCTTAAAAACCAGGAGCAGAATCGACTCGAGTGATTTTAATCTCAGCCTTTTGACACAGCGCTGGCTATAACCAAGCAGAATAATAATCATTAAAAAAAAACCCAACCCTCTTGCTCTCACACACACAGCTTATTCACAAAGATCGTAATTTTTACCCGAGCAAGTGGAGGCTGCCCCATGCCAAGAACAACACGGGAGTTAACAGGCCTGTAATTCTCACGACTTGGCACATTCTCAGGTAACACACACGAGAAGCTGATTAGCAAAAGCATAACGAGATGCTGGTTAGGAGGGATGGATGAGGCAGGCTGAAGTTTACCAGTCCCTGCTGTCTCTCACTGGGTGCTGCAGGTCCTCCTGTCCCCATCCTCTGTAACCTGGTGACCTCCTGGTTCTGCTGACCCAGTGCACTGTGTGAGCGATCCCTGATCTGCTTGTGGCCAAACTGATGAGCTAGAATGTTCTGAATAGCCTCAGCCACTGAGGGGCAAGCAGAGCCTGGGTCCTCAAGCAGGGCACGTGGAGGTTGCGAGGCAGAAAGGAGCTCAGGAGATGGGGTTTGTCCACTGAGGTCCTTTGGAGATGTTTGCCCTGTCTTCCCCTGTGCTGCAGTGGGATCACATCAGGGGCACTGGTGTAAATGGGAAAGGAATTGGCCCTCAGCCATTCACAGACTTTGGGTGCAGCAGCTCCTGGGGGTTATAAATATCTCCTGCAAAGTGCTCACGGCGATGCTGAGCATCTCCCAGCAGCACCAGTGCCCACTGCCCAGGGTCAGTTCATTGCAGAGGCTCCAGCCCTGCTTTGCCCCTTGCAGCTGAGCGGGGAGCCATTTGTTCTGATGGAACAGACGTCTGCAGCCCTCAACACGCTGGGTTTGTTGGCCACATCCACTGTGCAGGGAGAGAAAATGAGAAACCCAGTGGGCTGGGCAGAGCCATTGGCATCCACTGAGGGTTTGGCCCAATTTTCCCCCAGTGAGGTCTGGGAAATCTGAGGTTTTGAAATCCTGGCTCTCCCATCTCTGCAGTGAGGCACCATACTGTCATTAGGACGGCCCGAAATGGTTCCTGATTACGGGGCATGCGATGCCAGAGCCTTGCGTGCTGGCTTCATTGCCACTGTTGTCTTTGAGCTTTAAATAAAATTTTAAAAAATATATTAAAAAAAAGAAAATATCAAGTAGCTCTCAAAAGTGAAGCGAGATGTTAAAGGAACTTGCTGCTGGCTGCCTCTTGGGCCCCTTGCTCTGGGGAAGTGGGCTGCTGACAGGCACATCCTTTGGGAGCACCCAGACAGCCCTGCAGCCTCGCTGCCCTGCCTGTGCTCCAGCAGCTCCATCTGAACCACTTTATTCCCATTGCAACAGAAGAGGACCGCCCAGGCAGCCGGCTCCTGCCTGCTGGCCTCGTGCTGGAAACATCTCCAATTGCTCAGGAGGAGTTGTGTGCGTTGTTCAGCAGCACAGAGGGGCCTTGGGTACAGGGGGCCAATTGCAAAGTGATTTTGAATATGATCTCTGCAGTACTAGAGTGAGCTGTGGTGATGAATGCGCTGAACATCTTCATGTTGCTGCAGCAAAACCGAGCTCCCCTGACCTCACAGCACCGTAAACGTCTGCTGGATGCTTTTGCAGACTGCATCCCTCCCTTCCCAGCCTTGGTGCCTGCTGGTGAACAGCCTCAGCTCTCATCTGGACGCTGCCCAGTAGAACCAGTTGGGTTTGTGATCCGTTTCTCAACAACCCATTTCTCAAATGCAGTGTTTTTAACACAGGCTGCTCAGCAGCAGAGCACTTCATATGCAGTTCAAGTAAAATCTCTCTCTCTCTCCCATTCTTTCTTTTTAAATATACATTTTAAAGTATTAGATTACTTTTAAGCAGCTTCTTGGCATAGCCAGCGAGTGCCCCATTGTTTCCGAAATGCAACGTGGCTGCTCTGAGGTTAAGTCCTGAATTATGGGCCCAGCAAATACACTGAATTGCTGCTTCCTAATCCCTGTCCAGATCGACTTATGGTTTCTTTAAAATATCCGTTTCTTAATGGATAAAAACATTCTACCGTGGGCAGAGGCTAAATTGTTTCCAAAGGAAGCCAGGCAAGCATTAGTGGGAAGAAAACATATTGTGGGATTCGGCTTCAGCCTCGGAGGAAGGAACACTGCAAGGATGGCTTCCGGGCTCCGAATGCACCCATGTCTGTGCAGCTCCTCTGCTGTGTGATGGGTGCTGGGGCTGATGGTCAGAGGGGCTCAGGTTGGGAGCATCCCACGTGCTGTGGGTGCAGGCAGAGCGGTGCAGGCAGGGTTGTAAATCCTGCTGCTTCCTTTTATGTCGTCAGGGCTTGTTTTAATGTCGTTGTTGGGTTGGTTTTTATTATTTTTAGTGCTCTTTGAATGCAGGTAAAGAACAGAGTGCAGGGAAGCTGCTGGGGGGTCTGCAGTGTGGGCTGTGCTCCTGCTCGGCCCACCCACCCGTGCCAATTAGCACTGTTAGCTCGTTAGCTGGTGGCTCAGCCGTGCGGGGCAGTGCGGGGATGGTGAGGGAAGGGGGGCTGGGGGGCAGAGAGGACAGGCAGCAGGCTTGTTTAGTCTAGCATAGGGCAGGCTGGGAGCAGAGTGCGTTGCTCTGTAAATACATCCAGGGCATAAACAGCAGGGATGGGGAGAGCTGATGTAAGCAGTGGTGGCACAGAACAGGGGGGGCTCAGCCGGCTGGAAGGGGGGGAGAAGAGGGCAGGGGGAGGGCAGTGAGGGGTACAAACGTCCTATGGACCTCAAAGAGTTGTGAAGGGGGGGAACTGGGGGCTGCCCCCAGATGGAGCAATAGGGGGGAGTGGGGGGGGGAAGCAGAGCTGTGCTGCAGGGTGCTGGGCTTGCAGTTAGAAAAGCAAGAAGCAAAGGTGCTGGGTGATCTCGAGGTGGTGCCTGGCGATAAGCGCCGTGTTTGGGTTCGGGTTTTTTTTTTTGTCAGGCTCTGCAGAGGAAGTATTTGCACCGGCTTTGTGCTCTGCTTCGATCAGATACAGAACAATTGCTCTATGGGTGTGTAACAACGGATGCTGTTCACACCCTCATTTATTTTTTTTTCTTTTTTTCTCAACACCTCCCCTTCCCCCCCCCCAAAATAAAACCCGCTCTATTTTCTGCGGGGTGAGAGGAAGAGGCCGTTTTCTTTTTTAGTTGGCTCTGACTGGGAAACAAATGAACTTGTTCACATGTGTGACAGAGCCGTGGGAGCGTGGCTGTGTGTGTGGGTGGCAGGAGAGCAATGCTTGTCTAGAGATGAGCTGGATCCGGGGGGCTCAGTGCACCCCATCCCCCTTCCCCTGCAGCGCTGCTTCTCCCCATCCTTGGCCACTGCCCCGCTGTGCTGGGATGGAGCCCTGGGAGCAGGGGAAGGAGGCAGAGAGAGGTCAGAAAGATGCCAAAAAACCATCCAAGCATCATAGAAAGGATGGGAGAAAAAAGAGCAGGAGGTGTAGATGGGGAGAGGATTTCTGTCCCCGCTCCGTCTCGCGCACGACTGCGTATTATATACATGAGCATAAAATATCATTAGTGTTTACATTGTCGTCAATCATCATGGCATAAGGCAGGAAAGGAGCTTGCTTTCCCTCAGGCTAAATTTTTCATGACAATTTTGCAAGGCACGTATATGCATATAAATAAAGCAGTGATATTTGGCCAGGCTGCAGATATTTATGTGTTCTGTACACACGGAAAGTTCCACGTTATCAGGTTCCCTTCAGATTCCCTTTATTCTCTCTGCGTGCCACGCGCTATATGGGTTTGTGGCTGCTGCCTACACTCAAGCTCTGTTTTATTGCTGACTTAAGGGAGAAACCATTGCACCTTCTCCACATCTCCAAAGCAGGGACCAGAGAGCGGTCCCTGGGGGGATTTGGAGTCACTCAGGTTCCATGCATCACATTGCTTTGGCTCCACGAGGGCTCCCAAAACTGCTGCAAGCACCCACCGGCCCTGACCCAGTTCAGTCCACATCTCCTCTGAGGTGAAAGCAGAGCTGCTGTGACACCTGAGAACGGTTGTGATATCAGCAAAGGGGCTGAGGGTCTGTTTCCATCGGGCTTTGTGAGTGGGGGGATATGGGGTCCTCTCACAGTGCTTATTACAGCTGCACAATTACATAGCAGGGTGTGCCCCGGCCTCGCGGTCCCCTGGGCAGCACGGCCCTAACGAGGAGACAGTGGCATTACTAATCAGGGCTTTGACCTTTACATGGCTTTTATTTAATACACATTCCTCACTTCCCCAAACTCCCATCCAAAACATTGACATTTCCGCTGATAGATTGGGTCAGATTTTGGAGTAGTTGGGGGGGCTCAATTCCTTCTTACAATGGTTAAATTCTTACAGCTAAATGGGCTTATTCAGTTAGTGCAGCAGCTGGTGCGATTTCGAGAAGAAAATAAACATTTCCTTCAAATATTTTGATTGGCAACTGGACAACTGAAATACTCAAAGCTCGGATTGCCAGGGCCCAAAAAAGCAAATGGGGGTTGGATGGCGAGCGAGCAGAGCACACTGCATGCACCCTGCGAGGCTGTGCTGGGATGGGGACAACCCTGGGGATGGGAACAACCCGACCTGACTTTTGTCTGCTATGCCAAAGGGGCAGAGGGTGCAGCTTCCCCTGGGGTTTGCATAGCCGTAGCTGGAGGGCTGCTTTATTGCTGAGTGAAGTGAATGCGATGAGTATTACGGCCATTCTCCACCTGGGGTTGTCCCTAAGTCCCCCCCCTCCCCTAGGAGTCCCTCTTCGGACGTGGGGAATAGGGGCGGCTGTCGGATCTGAGCGCAGCCCCGACGGTGCATCCCCGACGTGGGGAGCGGGTCGGAGCTTCTCTTCGCCCGGCGGCCGCCCGGCTCCCTCTAGCGGCCCCTCCGCCTCGGATCGCGGCCCCGTCCCTCTGCCTGCAGTCGGACCGACAGCCCATGGCTGCTCCCTGCTCTGCGGTGCGACGGAGGCCAGCGGGGATGGGAAGCCCGAGAAGCCCGACCGGCCGCTGCTGCCGCTGTCCGAGCGTTCTGGAGCAGCTCTCGTGGGGTTGGGGCAGGTGGGGGATAGCAGAGAGATGGAGTTTTGTTCTGGGGTACCTTCAGCCCAAAGGTGAAGATGAGAACGCGGCTGTAATTAGCGCTCTCACACTCTTGTGTCCCAATTAGCAGCAAGTACCAGTTGCCAAGTGTTGCAAATTCTGGCCAAGACAACGGAGCTTTTAAAGGACCCTTTGAGTGTGGCAGAGCAGAAGGGAAATGTGCCCTGAGCACCCGTGTTTTATTTCCATTTTCTGGAGTATCATTTATGGGTGTGTGGGAGCCAACAGAGCGGCACGGTCTGATTGCTGGGGGCCATCATTGTCTCTGGGGCAGCAGCTGAGCATCACTGCGTTTTGGGGGATTTGGAGCCCGTGTGCTTTGCAGCAGTGCAGCTTTGCACTGGGACAGAGCATCCTGCAGGCAAACCAGAGTGTGAAACCAACTCGGTTTGTTCACTTGTGGGTGCTTTTCCAGCCAGCCCCAAGCACACAGCCCTCAGAGCAGTGCGCAGAGGGGCGGCAGCGCGTTGCAATTCGTGACGGCTTTGAGCTGCTCCTCTCTTATCTCACACCAAAGCCGCAGCCATGTTCCCCACGCAGGTATTCCTCCTTTCTCCTGTGTGGAGCCTGCGTGGGAAGTGAGCACTGCCTGCTCCTCTGAGGGCTGCAGGACTCACCCAGACCAGGAGGGGTGCAAGTCTGATCTCCCCCCATCTGCACCAGCAGCGTGAGCCGCAGCCTTTGCTCAGCTAGAAGGAAGCAGCTGGGGTGTTTTTTTCCTGGGGAAACACTGCAGGGATTTCCCCATAGTTTGGAAGAGCATGTCTCGTCCTGCAGAGCACGGGGAGGAGGTGAGCCTGGAGAAAAAGTCACTACGGCCAAAGGCCATTCTGATCCCAAAGCAGCGAGGTGCAGCTCCCTGCCTTTAGTGAGGGAAAGCTGCCTCCAGACAGCCCACAGCTCTGAGCTCCGTGTGCCAGCTGTACTCTCTGTGCTGGAACTGCTCTTCCTGGAGGTTTTTGTTTCACGAGTGGTGTGGAAAGGCTGAGAAAAGTGCACTGGTGGCATTTATGGCCGTGCCCTCCTGTACAGCCTTTGCCAGAGCTTGGTGAGGGCTGCTGAGCTGCGGGGAGCAGGATTTCACATCTTCCTTGGAGAGCAAAACTCTTTGCCTCGAGAGCCCCCTGCACAGAGGGCTCAGTAAGGAAAAGGTCTCATGGCACCAGGGGTGGGCACGGAAAACCTCTCAGGTCCCAAAAGGAGCTGCTGGTGTGGGCTCCCCTTCCCTCTGGGTTTCCTGCAAAGGAAGGACCCGACAGCACTGGGCTGTGCCCCACCGTGCATCCATACCCCCCGAGAAGGGAGCTGGGCAGCATCTCCCACACTGACCCAGGGCTCCCTTCCCCCAGCAGAGTAAAGCCTGAACTTCTCACTCTCTTTATCCTCTTGGATGGAGAAAAATACACAGAACGAAGCGAGCGAGGGGGATGTTGTGGCTCCTAGCTTGGGAGTTTTCAGCCGTGTGTTTATCAGCTCCATCCCCTGATGGTATCAGCACGAACAGGCCACCCACAAGAAGGCTCAGCAGCCCAGTCTGGGCTCCAGCTTTTCCTCCCTGGCTCCGTGTGTGCGTGTGTACACAGCATGGCTATCTGGGGAGCGGCCGTCTGGGGCTGCATCCATCTATTTACTACACAGCTGATGTAATGGCTAAACATTTCTTTTTCTTTCTTTGTTTATGAGGTGGGTTTTGTTGTTGTTGTTGTTGTTTTTAATCTACCAGAGACTAATAGACCCCGGGAGGAGTCAGCTTAGTCGTGTCCCTTCTTGGATGGGAAACAACAAATTTCAGGACAGGAAATGGGAACGACTCAAACAAGATGGGTTCGGGGTTTTTGTATTTAAGTCTCCCAGCTCTCATCCCCAGCAGATCCTAGAGATGTTCTTTCCCTCTGGCTTTAATTCCTCGCGCAGAGCGTGGCTGCAGCACCAGCTGCACGCTGCCAGCGCGGCGCTCTGACCGCCCGCTCTCTCCCTGCACCCCACAGGCACATCAGAGCTGAGCCCCTTCTCGGACCCGCGGCAGTTCGACCGCTCCTTCCCCACGCTGCCAACCCTCACCGAGACCAGGTTCTCCGACCCACGGATGCATTACCCCGGCGCCATGTCAGCCGCCTTCCCCTACACCGCAACCCCTTCAGCCACGGGCATCGGGGGCATCAGCATGACCAGCATGCCCACCACCACGCGTTTCCACCACACCTACCTGCCTCCTCCCTACCCCGGCTCCACGCAGAACCAGAGCGGACCCTTCCAGACCAACCCCTCTCCCTACCATTTGTACTACGGCACGTCGTCGGGTTCCTATCAGTTCTCCATGGTGGCGGGTGGTGAACGCTCCCCCACCCGGATGCTCTCTTCGTGTACGAGCGCCTCGGCGGGGAACAACTTAATGAACCCCAACCTGGGCAATCAGAACGACGGGGTGGATGCGGACGGGAGCCACAGTAACTCACCAACAACCATGACGACTACTGGGAGGATGGATGAGTCGGTTTGGAGACCCTACTAGGAAGGAGGAGGGCAGCTGGGCACCGAGAGCTTTAACCGGATCGGCCGCCGCGACGTTACTCCTTTCCCATCGAAATGATGCTGAGGGAAAAGGTAAACCAAAGTCTCCCAAACCAAAAGCAAAGCAGGAGGAATCCTCTACACATAACCACGGGCAAACATCAAGCAAAGCTGGGCTGGGACCTACGTTACATTTCAAGATGAACGTCCACAAGGCTTGAATTTGTCGCTTGATGTGGTTCCTTTCATATGGTTTTAATATGTGGATTGTACATAGGGAAAAAAAGATGCGTGGATTCAGATGTTTGTTTACTGCCGAACACTTCTCGGTCATCTCACTTGCACCCTCATCCCCACACAAAGCATTCAGGAGTCAGGGAAAGCTCGCCCTTCTGCAAAGCGCTCCAGAGACAAGAGCAGGAAATCATCCGAGCCATCTCTGTGCCGAAGCACAAAGACTGAACTGAAAAAAAAGGAAAAAAAAAAAAAAAAGGAAGAAAAAAAAAAGGAAAGAAACCTTTGTCTCCTCTCATTCCCTCCCAGCAGTGTAGGGCTGCTGCCCAGCAAAGAGCTCTGGTTTACAGCACAAGTTACAGGCTGTGTGTCCCTCGTGGGTCGGCATCAGCCACGCGAACGGGAGCTGTGATGGGGCTGTGATTATTCCTTGCTGACGACAGAGGCTGTATTGTTCATTTCTGTGCATTGTCGTCGTTTTTTAAGCAGTAGCGTGGCTGATCCCGTGCCCGGCAGGCCCTCCCCTCTCCTCTATGTTTACATATGAGATGTACTTTTCACACGATGCGTTGTGTTTTGTTTGCTCTCTCGCCTTGACCTCACCATTCAATTCTTTGCTCCTCTTAGCAGATCTCAGCGATGATGATGATGGTGGTGTGTGACGTGAAGGCGGTGTTGGGGGCAAGCCGAGATGTGTGAGATGCAAATTCCCGGCTCGTGAGCTGCTGTGGGGCTGGGAACCTTTGGCACTGTGCTGCCGTGGGTCTGTGGGTCTTCCTTTGATCCTCTCTGAGTGCCTGCACACGCAGCTGGTGGCAAAGCGTCCTCCTTCTGCTGTGATTCTTTCCTGTGTTTTCACCAGGAGCGGATCGACACACGAGGACTTGTTTTATTAAGCAACGACCGGCACTTACCAGCGTGTGCTGAAAGCACCAACTGAGATCTGGAGAAAGGAGCGCTTCCTACTCAGCCCCTCTCATGGTGGGAAGGTCGTGAAGCAATGCCAGCTGTCATCCCACATCCCCTCCTTTCCTCCAGGTGTCTTGGGGTGCTGGTGTCGGCTCAGCAGCTGAAGGACCGGCACTCAGAGTCACTGTGGAACCTTTGGGGGCTCTGCCTGAGCTCCAGCACACACCACGATTCCATCCATTCCCACCAGCGCTGGGTTGGTGGTTGGACACGATGACCTGGGAGGTCTCTTCCAATCTTAAAGAATCCATGACCCTCGTTGTGCCTCTTTGTGCACGAGCGCAAGAAAACATAAACCCAGCAGCTGCCCCCCCATCCTTCCCTGCTGAATTTATGCCCTTATGGCCGCAACACCTCTTGCCAAATCTCAGTTGGTAGCTCATCAGCAATCAGTTCTAATTGCACTACCATGTAGAGATGGGAGCGAGGCGTCCCTGTTTAGTTGGAAAGCTGCGATGACCACTCAGTGAGTTAAACATGCAGCAAGAGAAACAACTCTTCTATAAGATTCATCCCACCCCCAAATCCCTTCCCCAGCAAAACTGCAACGTTCACGTCCTTAAGCAACAGCAGGCACCTTTGGGTGCTCCCAGCTGGAGAAACTGGACCGGAGCAGCCTGTGTTTGGATGCATTTATATTGATCATCCAATCGCACCACTGATTGAAAGCACAAGCAAACAAGGCATTCGTAGGACTAGCTTAATTTATGACTGTTCGTAGTGAATTAAAAAGAAAAGCAACGATGTTGTTTTTATGACATATTGTCATGTGAAGGCGTAAATATACGCACCTCTATGGTATGCAGATGGTCACGAGACAGGCCAATGTTTTTTGCTTTGCACTATAATTTGCTTTTTTTTTTTTTAAAGAAAAAAAAAAAAAAAGAAAATGCACAATTGCTTGTACAGTATGAACCCCTTTGTCCGGCTCAAAGAATATTTAACTATAAAATCTAATTTTTAGTCATATTTGTTATAATAATATAATTCTTAAATGTGTTGAAGGATCCGATTCTTAAGAATGCTTCTAATACTTGTACATGCAGGGTAAAATGACAACGAAGAGCTAAGGAGATGAGAACAGAGATCGCTGTAGATAAAGAAGGCCAAAGCTGTTGTGGTGGTTTTTTTTTTTAATGGTGTCTTACAATGGACATTAAAAAGAAATGCTAGCGATACCAAATAATGTGGTTGTTGTGTAACGTACCGGCCCTACTTGAAGGCAGTGCCCTCTATTTAATATGTAGCCCATCTTTTTAACCTGTAGCACTTGTCACTGGGGTGGGGGGAGGTGGGTGGAGGGGGGGGGGGGGTGAGGAGGGGCTGCTCCTGGTGAAGTCATTGGGGACGTCGCTGCTGCGTTGGCTTCCAGAGGGTGGCCGGGTTCCTCCTCGCCGTTGGTACGAAGCCATAGCAAAGTGGTCAGTTCTGCTTTTCCATTATTGGTGTCAATGTTCTTATCCATTGTACATGATTATATTGTCAGGCCTCCGTGTAATCGTTTTAATGGTTTTCCATGTGGAATAATAAACGTACGGTTACAAGTTCCCGGTGCCTCCCCTCTGCTCACTCCTCACCCGCAGCGCTGTGTTCTTCCACGCCAAACCCTGAGCACAGCTCCTCTTTGAACGGCAGTGTTGTCTCCCTTCTTATAAATCACTTCCCCAAAGCTTTTATGTGATGCAGGGCAGGTGGGATGGAGCCCGCCTTGGTGCCGTGCCACAGGGCCGCACCTTTCCCTCATCAAACCATTAATGAGCCTTGTGCAAGGCAGCAGCCAGTGCCCCACAAGCACAGTCCTGTCCCTTTGAAGCAGTGGGGCCAGATGTGAGGAGCCCTCGGACCTCCGACCCCCATTGGGTGCCATCACCCATCACCATCACCATCGCCCATTGTCCATTGCCCATCACCATCTCTCATTGCCTACCCCCTGTCACCCATCCCTCCCCACCACCCACTGACCCCATTGACTGCCCACCACCCATCACTCACCTCTCATCTCCCATTGCCCACTGCCCAGTGCCCATCACCCATTGTGTGCTGTACCACAAATAGGGCTCCAGCACAGATCCCCCTGCATGCCCATGCCAGGGTGACTACTCCCCCAACACCTGCAGCTCAGCATCTTTCCCATTGCCAAACCAAACCCCGTGTCCCTGGAACCCATCACCTCCCCAAACCCCAAAATCTAATGCCATGTCCCTGGATCCCCATCACCCTCCCAGCCCCTTTCTGCCCCACAGGGCCATGTCACTGGGGTGTGAGTCTCAGTGCCACCCCAAGCCCTCGGGCAGCAGCACACACCGGTTCTGCAGCAGCTGCATAGGGCACATTTAACTGCAGCCTGAGCTTCCCCCGAAGCGCACAGCGTGCTGCTCCACACGAGGGCTGCAATTTAATCACAGACACTGTTTCTTATTGAAGTCATGCAAACAAAGCCAACTGCATAACTGTTCATCCCCTGACAGCAGCAGGGCGGGACGCGGGGAAGGTGTTTTCTCTTGGGCTGGGCCGGGAGATCACAAGGCTCTGCATTAAAATACACTCTCACTCTGCACATCTGTGCACTCTGCACCCTTGGCTCAGCTCTACAAAGGCAATGTGCTGTTGGGATGCTGACTCCTCCATTGCCATCAATGGGAGCAGCCCGGGTGCAAAGAGACAGGGCAGGGCAGGATGGGGAGCTGGGGTGTGTGACCCCATGTTAGGCATGGAGAGAGCAGGCAGTGTCTGGGGTAAGGGAAGGTGATGGGGCAGCGAAGAGTGTGTGTGTGTGTGTGTGTGTGTATGCAGTGCCCAGAAGGTACCCGTGGGCACACACCTGCCTGTGTGAGCAGAGCACACACATGTGACGAGGCATGTCCATGTGGCAGGGGACACCTGGGCAGCACCACCACCTCGCCACCCTCAGCAGCCCTCTGCCACTGCCCAGCACCTCCTGGGCACTCGGTTTCCTGCAGGGCTGTGCATGCAGCTATGGACATCACTGCTTATTGCGTGGCCCATCCTGCCCAGCCCTGCTGGAACCGTGGGGCAGCCGCCCCAACGCACAGAGCGGTGGTGTCCATGGCTGCACCATGCAGCAAAACAGAAGGGATGGAACAACATCAGTGGCCCTTTGGGGATGGATAAATTGCAGCCTGGAGCGGGTTGGTGTCCCCACCTCCTCCAGCCCCTCCCTGGCTCCCATCCGGCCCCTGGCTCTGCTCCAGGAGGAACATTTTCACCAGCGCTGCCCGGCAGAGGATTTCCTTTCCATCGGAGCGACTTGCAAAGCCCCCCCAGCTCCCTGGAAGCACATCTATGTAATTCTTTAAGATGGGTTTGGCACGGGGATGGGTCCCGAGGGCCGCTGCCCGTCGCCGTTGGTGGGTTTTGCTGCTTCTGGAGGTCGGCAGAGCTGGGAACACCCGGGTTTGTTCACTGCCTGCCGTGAAATCGATACCGTGATTTCATTTCTCAGTCATAAATGAAATGAGCTGTAAAGCCAAGGTGGGTGTTTGAGCCGGAGTGAAAGAATGAATTGTTCTAATGGGGGGACGTTAACGAGGGGATTAAACATGCTGCAAAAGCCAGGGGGGGTCTGCAGTGCTGTAGGGCCCCCTTGGCCACGCACCCCCACTCCCCCAGCTCTGAGAGCACCCCGACAGACCCCCAGCAGTGAGGCTGCCTTATCTGTAAACCCCGAACCAAAAAGCACAGTGAGAGCCCTATCAGGATGCTAGGAATGGCAGCCAAGTTCCCCCCATCCGCCCCTTCGGTTCCGTTGTGTTCCCCTGGAAATCCCCGCAAAGAAAAACACAGGGGCACGAAAAGTTTGGTTTTCATTAAACCTCGAATGTGAGCGGTTCTGTGGCCTTCAATGGGGCTTTGATTCCTATAGAGGATGGAATGTTTTCGGAACGTTTTTAAAAAATGTTCCCCACCTTCTCCATCCTCTATCTGCAGAGAGCTGCGGGTTTGCTTCGCCCCCCACTGCCCTCGAGACCCTCTGCATGGAAACCCCATTGGATCTCATGGTTTGGGGCGGTTCTATGCTTTCTTTTGCAGTGCAGGAAAAGAACTCTCATCGACCTGCATTGTGCACAGGGGGACCTCAGGGCCATTCTGTACCTGGGGGTCCACGTTTCCATCTGCTCTCAGCATCGCCCATCCCTGCCCGCTCAGTACTGGAGTGCAGCACCTGGTGCCAGTCCAACTGGTTGTGCTGGTGCTCACCTCCTCTGAATCCTCTCCTCCTTTCTACCCTGATCATTTCCAAAGGCAGAGGAGGACACACGAGGGAGGTTCTAAGAGCCTCCTCACCCAGTGATGGGAGAGACATCGGCAACTGCAGCTCTGCAGGTGGACTTTGCTTTACATTTTGACTCGTGGCATCATTTGGGCAAATTCTGACCCCTTAAACACAGTGTTTGCTGCATTCCTGGATGCTGTCTGAGGGCTGGGAGAATGCACAGGTGCTTTAAACCTTTACTCCTTATCCTCCAGTTCAGGAATGGAAATTATGGGATCATTTATGGAATGCTTGGCTTGGACTTCTCCCTGGGACAGCAGTGGGCAGCAAGCACTGCTCCTGGCAGCCCCACAGCACAGCCCCATAGCCCCATAGCACAGCCCTCCAGCACAGCCCCATGGCACAGCCCCATAGGGCAACCCCACGGCACATCCCCATGGCACCGCAGCACCATTCCATCCCAGCTGCTCAGTGCTGAACACCCAGAGCCCAGTTGCAGCTCAGCCCACGTGCAGTAACTCATTTCTTTCTGCCACATCAAGATACCACGGATCTGAATCAGCTGTTTTTACAGGAGAGGATTACATTATTATTTTTTTTTCTTTCGCATTTGCCAACAAAAGTATTAATAGGTTCAGCTCTGCAGATGAAAAATGAAGGCTGGAAGGAAATGCAGCACGGTCCCCAGGTGAGGGCTGTGGGTCACGCTGGGGGCTGTGAGTCCAGGTCAGTTGGAGCACAGAATGAACATCAGTGGCACCACTGGCAGCTTTGCATCCCATCTGCTGGCCAGAGCTCAGAGTTCTTCCTTTCCATTGAGGTCTCTCCTTCCCCACGTGTGGGGCTGCTCTGTCATTTTGCTCAGGGAGAGCAATAGGTGCCCAGTCCCAGCGTGATGAGCAAAACCACAGGAGAAATAAACATCTGATTAAAAAGGAAAAGAAAATAAGGGAGAAAAAAATAAAACAAGTCTCAGTACCAGTGTTTTTTGGTCCAGGATTTTGGAGTGGGTGCAAATCTGAGCCAGCCTTGTCCCTATAACAGAAACAAGCCTTGGGCTGAGCCCAAGTGAACGGAGGAAATTCCAGTCTCCCTTTCAAGCTCTTTGCCACCATAGAAAGGAGCTGAAGCTGCCAGAAAGTTAAAGAATTCACCATTGCACGGCTTATCCCTCCCGAGCACCACGAGCCCCTCCTGCTCTGAGCACATCTCTGATGCTGGACACACTGATGCCCGCACCTGGTGCCAGCAGCAGAGCCAGCACTCAGCATGGAGGAATGCAATGCACCTGCAGAAGCACTCCCACAGCATTCAGGAGCAAATGGGCCACGGCTGCAATAGACCCTGTGCACCTGTGGTGCAGCATGAGAGCACAGAGGGAGATAAGCAGATGCAAGCTGTCCTGCACTGGCCTCTATGCAGCCAGGAGGAGGATGGGGAAGGTGCAAGCTCAAGACCACATTGTGGTCAGCTCTTATGGCACGTGGTGATGCTGTCCCACCTCCCCACAGCTTTACCCCCAGCACAGGGATCAGAAGGATGTGGGATGGGCAGAAGGGAGCCGTGGGGATGTGGTGCAAACTGCCCTGCATGGGAAGAGGGCCCGTGTTAGCACCAGCACTGGAGAGGGGAGAGGAGGAGGAAAGGACCAGAACCAAAACCACACAGCGATGGTTTGTGGGAACGGTTTGCTTTGACCACAGGAAATGGCACACGTGTGTGAGCTGCTGCCACGGGACAGACGGGAGCATAGGGGCACAGCGAAGGGATGCACAGACTGGGCACTGAGCAGTGCCTCCCTGCTCCTCTCCCCAAAAGGAGCAGCACTGCTGCTGCCCACAGAGATGTTTCCCAGGAGCTCTCCTGGGGCAGCCGTACCTGAGATGGGCTGCGTGGTGATGGAGCGGCACCAGGCTGCGTGCGGGGCTTTGAAATGCAAAAAGGCAGAGAGGTGTGTTGTGTTGGTGCAGCTCCGCTGTGGTCTGAGCCTAACAAAGTGCACAATGCAAACGGGCTGCGACTGCTGATCGGCAGGCAGATG